GACATTTGGCTTGCGTACAAAGCAAGAAACTTTTAGCAACTGCTGAACAGTTTTGGTTTTGTTTTAAGAAGGATTTGGAATTCACACTGCAATGGATCAAATGTAACAAATAGAAAGTCACGAATCACTTAGCACTTTGGCAAAGGAGGGGCCATTGGAGAAGGGCGGGTGAAAGGTAACTAAGGAGAAAAAAATTCCTACCCAAGGAACTAATTTTAATCTCATTAGCATTTTCTTGTCCCTTGCATATAACATTCGTGCTCAGTTTTTGATATACTGCCAAGTAAGGGCCTTCACAGAAGTGAAAACATGGCCTTCCATTTCAAGACCCTTTTATAGATACTGAGGAACACGTTTTCACTTAAACATCAATGTCAGATGAGAACTACTCATTTCCACAGAATTAACTGCAGATCGACACAATAGCACAGCCCATTTTGTAACTGTTTCAGCAAATGAGGTATTGATTCTTAAGGCTATGATCTCCAAAGTGCCAGGTCACCCAGACACTTAATTTAATTGTATTAAAAGTATTTCTATTGGGTTTCTCCTTCTAGAAGATCATGAGAAACTTCAATTAGTTAAGAGATTTTGCAAAATGCTTAAGGAAATAAAGTAAATACAAGATGCCAGAAATGAATGTTTGAACCTCAAAGAGGCAATAATGAATACTCTGAGACAGTGTTTCTCAAGACCAACTGTTATGTAAGATCCAGTTTATTTATATTTAGGCATCACTACAATCCAATACAGAACAGTTATTTTTGAGACCAGTATTCAAGAAAAAAAAAAAACTTGCTTTGGTCATGAACTACTGAAAGAGAGCATCAGATATTCTCACTTTTTGTTCCTTATACTGGCACCATCTGAGTTACTTGCTAATTGCACAAGACATTAATAACAAGAGTATTTTCTAGAACATCGCACAGTACCAGGCAACAAAATCCAAAATAAAGATAAGGTAACATGGGAATTTGAGAAGATAGATCAATTGTGTAAAATCCTTACATTCCTTCTGCCCCAACAATGAAGACAGAGGGAACACTTTGCAGAGTTGTTCATCTGTACTGTGCATGTTCCTCACCCATTTCGGTTTCGTTTTCCAGAAGCACAAGGTCATTACTATCTACCCTGTGAAGCAAAACCTGCTACTTACTGATTGCCTATAAAAACCTAATGTTTGGACATCATAAGGCACACTGTAGCATATTTGTGATATACATGGTTTTTAATAACCAGCATAAACCTTAACATACGTAAACCCATATTTGCTTTATCAATATTCTTATAAACCTTCACATAAGATGTGCATAAATACCTCAGATAATCAAGCTGATACTCATCTCTATGGAATAGACTATGAAGAACTAGACCAGCTCAAAACCAGATGTACATTTTTATGTTTTGAAACATACAAGAGATAGAAGTGCTTTTGCCCAAGTTATTTCCATCCTGGCCTTAAAAACCCTTAATTTTTTTTCACTTGTAAAACATTTGTACTGGGTCATACCTTAAAAACTGCCATAAGCCGTAGACAACGTGGTTGCCGAGAGGGGCTAAAAGCTGTATCTGGCTATATGACACATTTAAAAAAAAAAAAAAAAAAAAAATCATTAGAATGACCAAGTTTGAAATTATCAGACCTAATCATATGTATGCCCTAGTGGGAAAAAAAAAAACCAAACACCAACACAACACAAGCAAACAGACTCCACACAGTTGAGTTCAGAAGTATTCAACTCAGAAGAGAAACACTGATCACACCTGTTGATTCTATGATTGCTATTCCAAAAACATTTACTATCTCGACAGTAGAAATAACAACAGTTCTCTTCAATTGTCCCACATGAAACAGCATGACTTCCAGTAAAATAAGGAAAGAATATTTTCCTCGTGTATACCCTTAGCTATTTTAAGGCACACTAGATGTTTTATATGCAAAAGCAAGAAATATTATTACATTTTACTTTTCTAAATAGCAGAACTCTGATAGTAAAAGCAACATATTTTTCTACGCACATTCCTTATAGTGGTTCTGCATACTCCACTTTCCTGAAGAGTTTCTTACTCCCTCCCCAACAAGGTGAGTTTTCAAGTAAATAAAAAAAATACCTCTGATAACATACAAAACAGACAAAAAGAAATCACAAAATAACAATAATTCACCACGTACTCTTCATTTTCCTCTTCACTAATAAAGAAAAAACTTATGCTAAATCTTTAGTTTTCATCAAAATAGCTTTTATTCTTATTTTCAAGAAAACTTCTTCCTCAAAAGACATACTTACCCAGTCAATTTATTTATATACAACAAAATGGTATGGGTTAGAAGAGGCTCTTACAATCATCAAGTTCTAACACCCCCAGCTACAGGCCAGGACATCTGCACTAAACCATGTTGGTCAAAGCCCCCTCCAATAGGAGATTGAGCTTAATTAACATTACTTTCAGCTGTGTCATCTATCAAACCCACTATTTGCCACTTAAGTAAATTGCTACATTCTCACTGGTACTGTCTCTTTCAGAGAGAAGAAACAGCCTGTATCCTAGAAATAAAAGTTGAGAAATGACTTGAGAAAAACATGGCTTTTCTGACAAAAGAGACAAAAGAGACTACAAACCATTTTTTTCCACAGTAGGACCATTCAACTTCCCTTTACGACAATAAAGCTTCTTATGAGCCTGTCATCGTGCCTTGAGCAGGGTGCTGTCATAGAATGGCTTGGATTGGAAGAGACTTTAAAGATAACCTAGTTCCAACACTTTACTGCTTATTGTTTGATATCTAGCTCATGTACAAGAGACTTAAACAGAAAAGGAGAGTCCCAGTTTTGGTATTTCTCCTCTCTCTCAGGTGCTTGGAGTTGCATTCAACAGACTGTTCTAATCTGAATGTCATAGCCTGTTATTCAGAAGATGATGGTGAAAGAAGAAATATTAATACTGAAGTATTTTAAAATAATTCAAAGCTGAATGAGTTTCACCACACAAAGGAACATGACTGTAGCTCAAATATTTAAGGCATTTCTTTGAAAAATGAGGATTTTTGAGTCTTCCAGTTCTCCTCCCCAAGAAAGTGTCTATTTTTATACACTGTCAACTGAATTTTAAATATTATATAAAAGTATAAAAATTATATAAAAGTAGTGTAGGAAACAACATCTTCTGTTTAGGCAGCCTGAACTAATGTCCTAACTATATAATTTTTATTCCACTTGTGACTCTGTAAATCTTATGTTCTCTTTTGTACAAATGAACCTCAACAGAAGCGGAGGAGCCACCAAGAACCTGTAGACTAAAGGCTTAATTGAGCAAGGTATTTAAGTTAGGAGCTGCCATCTAGGTGTTCAGTGTGGAATAACACTTTATAATACTTCAGTGAGAAATCAGATAATTATCTAGGTATTAAGGACTTCATAGTCATTCCTCTTTTCGTGCCTATGAAATTTTTAGGCAAGTTTTCTAATAGTTCTATACTGAGAGTGCCATTCTAGATGTCTAATGTGCATACACACAAACAGCTGAACAGCTGAAGCACTGGTGTGAAGTATAGGACATGAATTTATGAGCATCTATTTCCCAAGTTCTTTTGATTTGCATGCTCACCTTTCCACATTTTCAACCTTTTATTCTCTTCTGCATCCCTCTCAGGCATTCAAGATCTGTTGCAAAATGTGCACTGAGAGAATTTTTATCTAATAAAACCCTAAGTAGACAGAACACGCTCTTCTGTTTTTAGGCCCATCTCTCATCTGCCTACCCTTTTCCTTTTCCTCCTTCCCCTTTCTCAGGGTGTGGGTCTGTTAGAACCTGCCCCATTAGTCAGAACGAGGCCAAACAGGCCTGTAAACCATTAACAGCCCCCTGGTCCTTTTTTCTCCCTTTTTTTCGTTCCTCCAGCTGTTGGGTCTGCTGTCCCCCTGTCACAGACACAGACTGATCTAGAGACAACTCTGTGACAGGCCCAAATTCAGCCAAAACTTCTTCCAAGCCTCTGGAAGTTCACTGAAGCTGAGACCAACCTTCAAATCAGGCCAGAGGGAAAACTTTTCCTGCTCTGCTTCTGATTTAATGTAGCATTAGAGAAAGCACATGGCAGAAGAGATCTGGGGAGTGAACAGCCTCTGAAATGCCATGTTCCCATTTGATCAGAAAAAGCAACTAACGGCTGAAGAGGACTTTAATTGCAATATCATGTAGTGGCCAAGATGATAATAGTTCATATTCACAGTCTGACAGTGTAGTGCTGGTTTGAAACAGAGGTTCACAGAAAAGTTCATTTAATATAAATGACTAAATATCTTAGGGTCAGGGAGACAAACAGGGAAAGTCATTTTAAAAAGTATCCAACTTGAATTAAATCTTTCATCTGAAACTGGTGAAGGTTTTTCTTCATACTTTAGACATAACAAGACTTCCACAGAGTTCATAAAAAGGGTTTAGGTAGTGTTAGATTTTACACTAAGAAACTTAATATAAACTATACACTGGATTTCAAAACGTCTTTGTTTCTCACCACCAAACTCTATTTTAATCAGTCACAGACCAATGGAGATGGGGAGTGAGCAAGAGGCTGGCTGGGCTCCTTGCACCTGGCCATGGTCATGCTGCTACAGCCCTCTGTGTGGCATCCAGCATGGGATTGGAACCCTAGCTAGCCAGGCACCCTTGAGCTGGGTTGAACTCAGCCCATCACACAAAGCACAGCCCATACAGAACTTGTCCTTTGACGAGGAAGGGAAAATACATACATTTTTCAGCTAGGTCCATTAGGCTGACTTCTGGCCATTTATGAAGTGCTCTGCTGGTGACGTGCAGTGTTATATAATTATCTAGATCAGAACACTGAGAAAAAGATAGGCAAACTTTGGTATTTTCATGCCTTTATTAAATACAGAGGCCAACAGCCTATTTATATCAGATGTTTATTATATATCACAGTACATACCAATGTATACACTAATGTATATACTCTGATTAACTTAAGCTAAATCATATAGATATTGCATGACTTTCAGTAGAAGATATGGCAAAACGTTTTCTGGGGTTTTTTTTGTGACTGACTATAGGGATAATACTGAAAAGAAAAATTGGTCATTTACAGTACGGTGCTCACAGTAATACAGCACACAGCAGGTAAGATAACCATGTTTCTCTTGTGCTTGCCCTAGATACAATCATAATCCAAAGTTTCAGTTAGGTGCACACAAAAATACATAACATGCTCTTCTCCCATTTGATGCTGCTCTACTTTGCAAAGCTCTACACATCCTTGAGTTCAGGTAGACTCCGTTCTGCCAAGATGCTCACATGTTAAGATTTTTGAACATGCACAGACAATTGCTGTGGAGTTGGTTGTGGCTGCAGAAGTCTTCTTATTGGAAACAGTTTAGTGGATAGGGCCAAGGAAAGCATTGCATTTTCTTTGTAAGCTCTGAAATCTTCGTAATTTTTTTCTGATCAAATGTATCTTCAGTTCTTATCCCAGTCCCATCATCTTCTTACACTTTTGGTACTGAAAAACCACAGATATACTGCATCTGCAATAAATAAATAAATAGACAAATAAAATTCATTTGCCTGCTTTTCCCCCGCATTTTTTTTTTTTTTTTTTTTTTTTGCTGGTAAATTCTTCAGCAGTTATTAATGGTCTCTGTGTTTATACTGCACTGTATCTTAAAATTTGTACCTTACCTCTAGCCAGTATGGATTAAAGGGTTGATGTTTCCTCAGTAGTCAACTGTAAAGCCATGAAGTGGATGTAAAATACTTGCTTTTTTTTTTTCTCCTCTTCTTTTATTTGGAAATAGAAGTTTTTAAATGCAGTTAGTCAATAATCATTATCTCATATATGTAGTTACATTAAGGGTAATGATCTAGAAAAGCACTGTTCATAACCAGGCTTTCTCAACAAGAAGGTTTTGCTGCAAAATAGGCAATTAATCTTCAAATAGACCATGTAAAACACAGGTGTTCAGTGACATGCAGATTGGTGTTATCAGTATTACAAAGTCTTTTTTCATAGCATGTTGGAACCAGTAAGGAAAAGAGATAATGCATTTGCAGTTTTCCATTGGAAGGAGATCGATGTCTTTATAAATAACTTTTTCTTCTGAAGACAACTCTTCATGCATCATGAAAATTCTAACATTAGAATCTGCTAATCTGAATGGAAAATGCAGCCTAAAATCCTAAAACAAACCATCTGTGTCCATGTGCTCAGTCATTCACAAGTTTGAAATCTACATTCCTACTCTTTACATATGAAATGAAATAACATTTAATTAAATAAAAAATAAAACAAAATAAAATAAAATAAAATAAAATAAAATAAAATAAAGGAACAAAATCTTCATATATGAAATGTATTAAATGATTTGAAGAAGTTGCTGCTTAATCTGCTTTCTGCTGTTTAAAGGCCACTACTTATCTCTGGGAAGTACTATTTTCCACATTAATACCTTATTTCACTTGGATGAAAAGCAAACAGTATCCAAAAATGAAAAGAAAAGATGTTCCAGATTGAGGAATTATTGACAAATGCATAACTACGCTACAAAAATCAAAATAATTTCACTAGACAGAAGCTTTGAGGCCTTCTTAGTGTTATGGCTTAACAACATACCAAGGAAATACCTTGTAAAAAAAGTGAAAAATGCTACTAGCAATTTCTACATCTGACCTTGCAGTTTTCCTCAGTCCATTTGGGTACCTCATGGACACAGAGACAAAGCCTATTACAGTCCGTAACAAAAATAATCCAGTTGGCTGAGAAAGGAGTAAAAGCATCGAGTCCTGAACATGAACGCACACCCAAACTACTATTTAGTTGTATATAATGAAAGATGTCTCTGTGTCTGGGAATTTGAAGGAAATCTCCCTATATTCCAAGAGAGCCTGGAACAATAATTTGTTTTATTTCATTGCCAAAACAGCTTCTCAGCTGGAAAAAACAGGCAATGCACTATTTGAGTTGATAAACCTTGCCAGTGCCTAGCAGCAAGGAGAAGACTTGCTACCTTCTAGGAAGATTATCATTTCAATTTTCTTTTCCTACTACTTTCAGCTATGCTGATTTGCTGCTTTCATTTCATATAAGAAGAAGAGGAAGGTGGTTCTTTTCAGAATAATACATTTGCTGACTTTAATTCTTTAATACTCTCTGTTCTTTGTCATAACATAAATGCTTTTTCCTCTGTCAGAAGGTGTCAGCAGAAGTCAACACAGCAGGTGTGGGGTCCAATGGTCTTTTGCAACTTTCAGAATGTTACTAAAATTTATTTTTAAAAGTTCAAAATTTCTCTTCTGCTTTCCCTATCTAAATAACGAAATAAGCTGAAATGCCACTCTGTCCTAGAGATGTTGCCATGTTCAGAGTATTAGAGATCAAATTGTCTAAGCTTTGACATCTAATCAACAGCACTTAACAGACTTGAATGCAAAGCAGAAAACACTGATTTTAAGAATTAAATATTCTTCTGACCGTATGTGTGGATTACACTCTGCCAAATAAGGAATATCAATCTTAGAAGTTATCCTTGTGATTAAAAGGACTAGCTCCAGCTCTTCAAATGTTTGACACTGCTTTAAAGATGTGCATTCATCAGCAGTCCTACTTTCTAAAATCACTCTAAGAACTGGTCACTACTTAAAAAAAAAAACAACAAACCCTTAAGAGAAATTAAATTTATGCTGAGATTTTAAATGATGGATGTTGAAAGACATATGTACAGAGCACTAAGTTCACACAAACTCAAGACTTCAGCCTGAGTGATTTCCAATGCAGCCTGTTCCAGAATAAGGCCAGAAGCAGATGTTTTTTTTTAAATTTCACCTGATTAATGTCCTTTTCTAATGTATTTGTTACCTGCACAGATATCTACATGCTCTTCTTGAAGGGAAACCTATTCTGCAATGCATTTGTAATGGAGTTAGGCCAATAAAGTCCCTGATAAAAAAGGAGGGTTTGTCTCCAAAAGTGAATAATATTACAGAATACAGTATCAATTCTTATCAATACCACACACACACACACACACAAAAAAAAAAAAAAAAAAAGAAAAAAAGAAAAGAAAAAAGAAGAAAAAAAAGAACAAGCCACTGCTAGTTAAACCTAAAAGAAATCAAGGCAGAAAGAGGGAGTACTCATGTATTTTTTTAGATACAACGTCCATAAACACATTAACCTACATAAAAACCAGCATGGCAACTATCCACTATTTTTCTCAGAAATAAATATGGTTCAATTATTATCTTGGTTTCTAGATAATAAAAAAAGAAAAAAAAAAAAGGAAAAAAAAAGAAAAAAAAGAAACTTTACATTTCCTTAACTCTGACAATGCCTCATATTAACCTTTAGAGAATACTTGTATGCATCAGAGACATTCCACATAAGAAAGACTATTTTTAAAAGTCACTGACATTACTATCATTACTATCCCCTGAGAGAAGTGAGATGTTACCCGGGGAATACTCTGAAGAATAGTGTCAGACACAATAATAGCCAGTAAGAGCAGTCTGCCCTGAGCATCCACAGATTCAGGGCTAGGACTGAGAAATACGCCTTTGAAGGGTAAAATCTGGCTCTCATAAGCCTGAACATGATCTCTTAGGAAACCATTTCCGTTCCAATGACAAAAAAATTCTAATAATTTACAATAGAAAGAGTATCAGGCTCTAAATATTCACAGACCTACAGTTCTTTTAAGTGATTAGTATTTCAGACCTGGAAGGTGTACGGGTGATTTTTTGATGACTCAGTGAGGCAGAGTGACAAACATCATCTCTCCAGAGTGAAAATATGGGATGGTGACCTCGTAATCCTGAGCTCTGACTGCAGGAGGGTATTCTGGCAGGATTTCCAGAAAGGCAAAAACATTTTTCACTGCTCACATAAATTGATTATTACCCTTTGAAATTGATATTTGACAATTTTTTCCCTGTACATTTTAGCAGAAGAACTGTTGAGTATGATAGGACTAAGGTTTTCTTTGCCTGCTACCCATGGTAGCCTGCATCAGTCACAGAGTCTGAAATGAAGACCACATGGCTGACCTTGTAGAAAACGAAAAAACTCAAAGGAGATACATATATTACACAAATCCCTGTTCTCTTCTTGGTGACTGATGAAAATTGGTACATTTTCTTTCTCATGTAATTTCAAATGTCAGGGAACTTAGGGTTTAATCACTGGACTCCGTCTCATTACATGCCAAATCCCCATAAATATTTTACATCAATGTCTGGAATTCAGGCCCAAGAGAAATTCTAAGTTTTGTGTCATTGTCAATACTATTTCCTTCTTCATTACCCCCTAAACTCAATAAAATATTCAGACTAACTTCAGGATGTGGTCCAGAGTGTCTACTTGAATTGAAACAGCAGTTCTGAACCCCCTAGGTTATAAGGGATTCTGGGGATCCTTAGTCCCATCTTCTGCCCGAGGCACATTCTCAGGGCCATGTCCAGACTAGCTTTGGAAGATCCAAGGATGGAGATTTCACAGCTTCTGTCAGTCCTGTTCCAATATCGTACCACTGTTATGATAAAATAAAACATCTGCTTGCAATTTGTAATTCTCCAACGTGTCTATCATCTCTTGTGCTATCCCTGTCAGTCCTTTGAGAAAACTCTTCCTCAAATTTCAGTGTACCCTCCCATTAAGTACTTGTATATTTCCATCATCAGAGACATCATGATCCAGAGAAGGATTTCACCAAGAACTTTTTGGATTTCAGAGATTTAATACAGTCACAATCTTTATAAAAGAACCATGGAAACTCATTCCTGAAGTTTGTGGGTGACTGCAAGATTCGAAAAGAACAGCATTGGTCATCCTTCCCATATCATTTTGGATTTAGAGTGGGTGTCCTTCTGCCACCTGCTTGTCATTCAACTGAGGTCCAATTTGTTACTTGCTTTAAAAATGCACAGAATTTTGTCTTGAGTGCCAGCCCATGCCTATTCCTGGAAAATGAAAATAAAATCTCTCAAATTGCCTTTATAAGAGTCTTCCCTGCTCACAGGAACAATCAATTTCAACAACAATCTTCTTCTCTGTTCTACAGCACAGAATTCATCATAAGAAACAAGAACCTACCTGGCTTTTAGAGCATGAGAAAAGGAGAGAGATGTGATTTTTTAGGGCTAGAAAATGTCTTATCCTATAAGGTTACCCAGATATTTAGTGTCAGTCACAGGGCATGCAAGGGTGGATTTGCTCTAGTACGAATAAAATCACTCCATTAGTTCTAATGTCTTATGTAACCACTTGATCCACTTCACTGGTTGTAATGGTCTGCTGGGACAAGGTTCTGAAGTAGCATAGTGATCCCATTATTTTGTCAAGTCACACTGCAAATAGCTGCTTGTATCACTTCAGTCAAACATGGTCTGTGGTGTCTAGGTAGAAAGTCAGAAGGTAAGGCCCTTCAAGAGACGCCTTATTCTTGAAACTGAGAATCTTGGTCTGTGAAAAATCTTCCTTCTCAACATTTAATACTGAATTTAATGATACCTGTGTCCACAGACACGATTGTAC